GGCGCACACTGAGGAAACTTACGTTTCATTAGTTGCTCACATCATCTCAAGAGGGCACATTTGCCCGCCAGTTTCATGCACTTCTCTTTTGCGATGTCAGATAATAATATTGTTCCTGTAATGATGTGGTGGTTGAGACGGTGTAAGAGGAGAAGACAGGAGAAAAGGAAACATTGGGTGCATCTGTTCTTTCATGACAATTTAAACTCAAGTGTTCAAATTGTTTCAAAAGAACTTAATCAGGATACAGAACTGTTCATAATCATTTTGCACAATGACCATTGGAAGTTTTTTTATTAATGGATCTTGTAGGACCTTAAATTTGAAGATGAGATACAAATTTTCGTACAGCTGTGTCAGCAGATCCACAGGCAAAATTATAGTTCTGCATATTCCAGTTCTTATGTTTTTGGACAGAAGACAGGAAGACAAAAGTTTCTGGACTGAATGGTAGCAAGCATTACCCGAGATCAATCTCCTCTTAATTTCCTCCTCAATCAGGTTTTGGTTTGTTATCATCATTCCCAAATATCTGAACTGTGCCATATTTTTAAAACACCTATTTTTGTCATGATTTTGCACTACATTTTGGTGATGAAATAGCCACATACACTTACTTTTCTCTGTGTTTACTTCTATACCAACCTCCTGACTAGCATTAATTAAAGTTTGTGTTTCTCTTTATGGTATGTATGTGTATATTGAAGAAAGCAGTCTTCTGGGATTTGGCACCGTGTATATGTGGTGATAACCGACGTTTCGGAGGAACGTATCGCCTCCATCTTCAGGGTAGAAGAAAAAATATAATAAATCTGCAAGCGAAGAGACCATGAGAATCGGTAAAAGCAGACTGTGTTGGAAATATTCACAGGTATGTTTGAGCAGCGAAGGAAGGGGGAAGGGCAACTCCAGTCATAATGCATTTTCAAACTGGGGAATTATAAAGCACGGTGTTCCACAAGGATCAATTTTAGGTCCCTTACTTTTTCTTCTCTACATAAATGATCTATCTAAAACCATCAACAATAAATCTAAACCAATTCTATATGCAGATGACACTAGTATAATATTTAAGAACTCTAAATTTGA